TAAACCAGTGGTTATTGTTCCTCCCAACCAAATGTTTGGACTGGTATAGCAGATCAGAGAGAATTTCCCCCCTCCTAATAAAGGCCCAGATCAGAACAGATCTGAGGCCTGATTTTTACTCATGTTGTCCATGCAGTTGCAAGCAAAACACATGCTCCCTTGTGCATATAGGTTGTGTGTGCACTTAGCACAACTGCATGCATCGGAAGGGTAGTAATGTCTATTTCGCACATGTAGTTACCAACTCTGCATACACTTTTGGGGTGACGAAACATGCAAATCAAGCACAACTGAATACATTTTTATGATTCCAGCTGTGCATTGAACATTGGCTCTCATGCTTCCCTTACACAGTTTTAATGTTACAGCTTGTTGATTTGTAAGGTGCTCCAAACGAGGCACTGGCTGCCACATTAAACAAAGCTATGTATGTCCCCGATGGAGAGGCTAACATCATGGTAGTCACCCCTTTCAGGCTGTCACTAACATCTGAACAGGAGCACCCACTGCTTCCTGTGGCATCAGTGGGGTTAGTTGCATCATTCTACCAGGCAGCTCACAGCTTCTGTTAAGATCCAGTTTATTTGAACAGACCCTGGAATCACAGGGCCACAGGGGCAAGGGCAGCAATGCCAAGGAAACATTCACTTCCAGAGCAGGACAATCTGTTCTGCCAGGGAGAGCAGCTTTAAGCTCAGTCTTCATGGGGACACCCACAGGGGAACCCATGGGGCCAAGCTGGCTGTATTGTCCAAGCAGAATAGAGCAGGAAGCAAGGCTGCCCTGGGGGTTAGTTCAGCCAATGCCCAATTTGTGAGGCCCTCCTGGATTCCTTGAGGGTTCTTGATGCTGGAAAAGGGGAGACGGCTTCTCTGGAGGGACGTGGATGTTCAGCACCAGGATCTCTCAGTCCTGGGCTTCCCTACTTTGCCTCACCAACAAGAGCATGAACCTGCTGCTGGAAAATCACTGGTCGCTGAGTTAGATGGGGTGGAGTCAGACTCATGGCCAGGTTTTTGGTCTGCTGAAGGGTCTTTGCAACACTAGGGGAAACATATTCTTAGGGGTCCTGGGGTGATGTAGGGGCTGCTGTAGCACCACTAAGCCACCTCCTTGCATGAGGGGCATGGCTGGGGATGAAGGGCATGGCTCCTGCTGATCCCTGGACAGCACAGTGCCCCCTACTGGCTGCTGTTAGCCAGTGTAGTTCACAGAAGCCCAGGCTGGAATAGTTTTGAACGGCCTCTGATCCCTTTTGTTTGGAGCTGTCAATATATCAGCGGCACCCAGACTCCACCCAGGAGCCCTTTGCAGCCACCCTCACCTTTCATACCTTGACTGTGCAGATCAAGGAAGAGTGTTGCATTCTGAGACCTGCAGTGCCGGATCCCCAGCTGATGTAAATGGGTGTAGCTCCACTGGGGTCAATGGGCCAGATTCCTAGCTGGCATAAATGGGTGTAGCTCTGCTGATGACAATGAGACAGATCCCCAGCGGGTGTCAATCAGCATAGCTTCACTGAAGTCAGTGAAAATTGACACCCACTGAGGATCAGGCTGGATGTCTCTGTGGGCTGCCCTGGTGTGTCTGAGAGGAGAGTAGCTGCAGGACCCAGGCTGTGTTTGCTCTGCAGCGGCTCATCCCAATTACTTGACAATGGCAGGTTTCCCCACCCCATGCCCTGCCCGTCCTTCCTTCTCCTGTGAGGGAAGGTGTTTCCCTTTGCAAGGCATAGTGCCTTCCTTCTCCAAGGCTCCCAGTCAGAGTCCAGTGCTTCACACTCCCTGGCCCAGCTTCTCCTAGTGGAGCACTGCAAACAGCTGGCCTGCTGGAGGATCACCCCAGGAAGGGCATCCTCAGGTGGTGCAGAGTTGACAGAATGGCTCCTATGCCAGCCCACCTCCCTGTGGCCAGCACTGGAGATGGTGCCAGCGCATCCTTGCACCCCAGTGATCCACAGCTGTTGCCTAGGCCCCTTCAGACTATTCGCAGCTGGTGCAGGTTAGAGCAGCCCTCACGGGACTTATACTGGGGACCATCCCAATGCACAGCCAGCCCAGGGTCAGTGGGTGTGTAAAGGTGATGCAGTCCACTCAAGTTATGCCATGTGAATTTCATTCGCAGCTGAGGAACTAGGCTGTTCGGATATGAATATCAATGGCGTGTAGCCATTTCTGGGGTGGAGGAGATGGCCAATCAGCAGACGAGCATGCTGTGCAGCACTGGATGAAAGGGAAAATTTGGCCCTGTGGCAAATCCATCCTCTTATGGAAAGAGCCATGAGATGAAGTCTCACAGCACAACTGATGCTCACAGCACACAGGTAAGGACCTGTGATTGCCTCCATCTTTCAGACAGGCAAATTGAGACACAACACAAGGACCTGATGTCACTCCCCCACAGTCACCTAGCAAGTCAGTGGCAGAGGCAGGGACAGCACTAAGGAGATCCTGGCTCCCAATCCTGCACTCAGTGCAGACTATGCTAAGGGAGCAAACATATCCCATACTCCTCCATCCTCTCTGCAGTAGGTAGCTCAGTCTCCGAGGACATTCAGTCCATGATATTTTACTCTGGGTCAGTTCCCATGGGATTGCTGCTGCACCCAGCTCTACGTGCCGTGGTCAAGTTCAGAAACCATCAAACTGGTTGACAATGAAACAATAAAAACTATGAAACCATCAAAAAAGAGAGTTCTGAATGAAAGAATGTGTGTGTGTGTGTTTGGGGCAGCAGGGGAAAGGAATAGCAGCTGATTAAAGAGACAAAAACTTTTAGACACCAATCTTTTTGGGTAGAGGGGTCAAAAGTCAATCTGAAACCACTTGTATTAAATTTAGAAGACGGCTTTAGCACATGGTTTGGATTTTGCTTCCCCCATCACTAGAGCTAATTAGGCCAATCCCAGAGTGCCCCTGCTGATACCTAACACATGCGTGACACAAATTATTCCTTCGAACTGGAATCAGCGCCTCAGAGCTGAACATTAGCTCCCTCTCTAAGCAGGAGAAGAAATCAGGTAGCCAAGAGGCACGCACATGTATGTGTGTGCACGCATTTGTGCTTGTGCATTTGTGTTTGTGGGAGTTTTGGAGGAGAGTACATTTGAATGAAGAGTTTTGAACTCATTATCTGGACTACATTCAAAGAATGCGAGAGCAATAATCATGTACATAAATGCATGTGGTGGGAAGTGACTGGATGGGGGCCAAGAAAACAAAGGTTACTGGAACACACAGCCAGCGCTCTCTCTCTCCCACTCACAGGATTCTGCTTGGGCTTTTGTGTTAGCATGGTTATGTCTATTCCATGTTATGTGACTGTGGGAATGCACAGAGCCTGACTCTCCTCTCTCTCACAGAAGTCTGTCTCCACTGACTTCAATTGGCAGAGGTGGAAGGGAAAGCTCACATCTATACCACACTATGGCTCTGGTTCAGGAAAGTGCTTAAGCATGTGCTTGACTTCAGTGGAATTTGAGCACATACTTAATGTTAAGCAGTGCTTTGCTGAATTGAGATGCTTTCCTGATGCGGGATCTATATGCATGAATATACATTGTCAGAGGCAAATGTGTGTGTATGTCTGTAATATCTCTATCTATCTGTCTATCTAGAGACATGACTGTGTGCACACACAGACACGACATGATCCAAGGCAAGTGTGTCTATGTACATGATTAGTGGGGTAAATTGACACAGCTCTCTTGACTAACAAAGCCAGGCTGATTTACACCAGCTGGGGATCTGCTCCCATGTCTGTATGTTGGTGAACATGTATATCTGCACACAAATCAGAATGAAGAAGATAACCCTTTCCCCTTGCACTCCACCTTGTATTCTCACTTAGACTCTTTGCAGATCAGCAAGGTTGCATTTTGCCCTCCCTTTGCACTGGTGGACATGATGATGCAAAGGGCAGGAGAATGCAGAATCAAGCCTGCTCTCTGGATGTATATGCTGGTAAATGCACCACTGGCAGGTTCTCATCACTTGCTTTACTTATTATTTATACTCCAGTAGTGCTCAGAGGTCCTGGCCAAGCTCAGGGCCCCGTGTGCTGTGTAGACACACGATGAGGAATATCCCCAGGGGACAGGAGCGAATGATGCAGATGATGGGGAGAGCCAGGGTTTGGGGCTGGAGGAAGCACTTTGCAGATGGAGAGAGGGGCCCAGGAGTCCAGACTGGAGGGGAGGGAATCAACAAGTGAGTCAGAAAAAGGAAGGGGGTCTGGAGCAGGGGACTGAGAACAGAAGAGAGGTCCTGGACATGGATGGAATGCAGCTCATAACAATGCCGGGCAAAGGGGTGGGTGCTGGGGGCACCACAGCAATGAGGCAGTGGTCGAAGAGAGGGGCCATGGAAGGTGCGAGGTCAGAGACGGAGCAATACTACAGGGTGAGCAAAGTGGAGCAAGTGGCCCTTTAGCTGAGCAAGGGGTTGAGGGGGTGGGGGGCTAGCGAGTGGGAGGGGACACCAGAGTGGAAGCTGGAGTCACTGAGGACAAGGTCAGGGATGGAGAAGAGAGCCAGGACTCCAGGTCCGAGAGGAAGGTATTTTGGGAGGGTCTGGTGCATGGTAGCTGGCAGTGACAGATGGGGGACGAGAGAAGAACTGAACAGTGTTGTACTATGGGGGAGGAGGAAGGTGGGGAGCAGCAGCAGGGGGAGGGGAGGAGCTTTTGACCCACCTGCCTCCTACAGATCTTCACTGACTTTGCTGCTTGTATTTCTGTTCATAGATACCTGTGAATGGGCCAGATCCCCAGCTGAGGTCAATGAGCAGAGCTCCACTGACCTCTTTGGAGGTCTCAATGATTTTTCTGCTGAGGATCCAACCCTGGACATTGCTAGTATTACGCAGGCCGTGAACTAGTGTCTGCAGATGGAATACACAGCTCCAGGCCTGAGCCAGGTTATGCCTGTTTGCGTACTTGTGCGTCATTGCATGTATCCAATTTAACATCTGTTGGTGTCTTCACAACTCCCTCTACAGTACCTTGCTGAGGGTCTTCTTCAGGGCAGAATTGTCCTGCTTCAGCTCAAAGGCCGATCGCTCCAGCTCCTTGTTCTCCTCTTCTAGGTGGGCTACAGCTCGCTGCAGTGTCATCAGTCTCTCCTGGAGAATGCTGTTCTCATCCTGCACGTTCTGCAGCAATGCTGCAGCCTCCTGCTCACTCTGCTGCTGACGACAGACTATCTATGACATACCCAAGAGATGGACTGTAAGACTTTGGGGCCAGATCCCCAACTGGTGTAAATCAGTGTGGTTCCACTGCTGCACCAGGTTACACCACCAGACGGTCTGGTCCATGGCTGTCAATGGGGCTGGGGGGGAGGGAAAGAGACTTTAAGGAATTCTTATCCCTAGTGAGAGTTCAAATCCAGGCACCAGCTGAGCAGAGCAGTTGCATTTCAGAGTTAATAACAGTGTGATGCTTGTACCTTTGTGCTCTACTCTTACAGGAAGCAACTACAAGAACCAGTCTCCTTAGAATAGTGACATGTAGGCCTATGATTTACAGCCAACATTTTCAATGTCATGTGCCTAAAGCTAGGCAACAAAATCCATAGGTAGGCACCTAAATAAATGGTATGATTCCTACGAGAGCTAGGCCCACGGAAAATGAGCTGGGTGCCTAGGTCTGAAAAATGCTGGCCTACTATTTTTTGGAGCAGATATTTTCTATCTGTAAAATTGCCCACGGCACCTGCCAATACTGGAACCCAACATTCACCAGGCCAGCCTCTTGGTAAAGATAGCATCTATGCTCCAAGCGGTGAGTGTTTCATCACACGTCGGGCCTGGTGAATATAGGCTTATAGGGACATTCAAAATGTAATTAAGGTTAAAATAGGGTGACCAGATGTCCCGATTTTATAGGGACAGTCCCAATTTTTGGGTCTTTTTCTTATATAGGCTCCTATTACTCCCCACCCCCATCCCGATTTTTCACATTTGCTGTCTGGTCACCCTAGGTTAAAGATACAGGGCCAGCGCCCGGCTAGTGCAAAGCAGTGTGGCTCCACTGAGTTGTGCAGCATACACAATGGTATTTCACTGTTCCATGTAGCATGGCAAAATAGCTATTGCTATGCTACAAACTGCACAGATCATGCAGCACGGGAGAATGAGATGCAGCCCAGCCTGTCGCCAGGCTCATTTTGTCAACAGGTGGTCGCTGCTGGGCAGCCCAAGCCTAGACGAAGGTCGTAAACAGAAGTGGGTACAAGCAGGGCCGGCGCTTCCACTAGGCGACCCTAGGCGGTCGTCTAGGATGGCAGGATTTGGGGGGCGGCATTTTGCCGTCCTCGGCAGCAATTCAGTGGCGGGGGTCCTTCCGCTCCGTGTCTTCGGGGCGCTTCGGTGGCAGGTCCTTCACTCGCTCCGGGACCTGCCGCCGAAGCGCCCCGAAGACGCAGAGCGGAAGGACCCCCGCCGCTGAATGCTCTGAGGAGGAGCGCTGCCGCCTAGGGCGGCAAAAACCCTGGCGCCACTCCTGGGTACAAGATGGTGTATAGGTACAACACCTAGCACAATGGGGCCTTGTTCTCTGTCGAGGCCCCCGAGGTCACTTGTCTTCAGGGGCTGAAGCTCTTTCTGCTGTTTTTCTGCGGAGTCCTGGGTAGCAGTGGAAAAAACAATCCCTCATTGCACAGCTGCAGTTTGGGAGGTGACACATTTTCACACACTATTAGGCTGCGGAGGCCAACCCTGCTTTGGGATTGGTGCTGTGCAGATTGAGGCTGGTGTAAAGAGGTGCAGCCACAGGAGGAAAAAGCGGATACTCACCTCTCGGAACTGTTGTTCTTCAAGATGTGTTGCTCATATCCATTCCAATTAGGTGTGTGCACACCGCATGCACAGTCGTCGGAAAGTTTTTTCCCTAGCAGCACCTGTTGGGTCGGCTGTGGAGCCCTCTGGAGTGGCACCTTCATGGCGCTCAATATATGATGACCCCACTGACCCAGCGCCTCCTCAGTTCCTTCTTGCTGGCTGCTCCAACAGAGGGGAAGGCCGGCGGGTTTGGAATGGACATGAACAACACATCTTGAAGAACAACAGTTACGAGAGGTGAGTAACCGTTTTTTCTTCTTCGAGTGATTGCTCATATCAATTCCAATTAGGTGACTCCCAAGCCTTACCCAGGCGGTGGGGTTGGAGTTAAGGAAATGCTGATTGTAGTACCACTCTACCGAAAGCTGCGTCGTCTCTGGCGTGCCGGACGATGGCGTAGTGAGAGGTGAAGGTATGCACCAAGGACCAAGTCGCTGCCCTGCAGATTTCTTGGATGGGGACCTGGGCCAGGAATGCAACTGACGAGGTCTGGGCCCTAGTCAAGTATGCCGTGAGAACCAGGATCGGCACTCTGGCCAGTTCATAGCACGTGCGCATGCAGGACGTGATCCAGGAGGCTATTCTTTGAGATGAGACTGGGAGCCCTTTCATCCAGTCTGCCACCGCTATGAACAGCTGGTTCAATTTTCTGAACGGCTTAGTGCGCTCGATGTAGAAAGCTAGTGCTCTTCGACCATCGAGGGAGTGTAGCCGCTGCTCCTGGGTACTGGTATGAGGCTTAGGGTAAAAGACAGGCAGGAAAATGTGCTGGCTGGTGTGGAAGTGCGACACCACCTTGGGGAGAAAGGCCGGGTGTGGCCTGAGTTGCACTTCATCCTTGTGGAAAACTGTGTAAGGCGGTTCAGAGGTGAGGGCCTCTAGCTCAGATACCCTCCTCGCAGATGTAATGGCGACCAGGAAAGCTACCTTCCAAGACAGATACAGGAAGAAGCACGCCACCAGTGGTTTGAATGGGGGCCCCATGAGCCTGGAAAGGACCAGGTTAAGGTCCCACGCAGGGACAGACTGCCTGATCTGGGGATGTAGGTGGTCCAAACCTTTGAGGAAGCGACCAACCATAGGGTTGGCGAAGATGGATCGACCAGATGCTCCTGGGTGGTAGGCTGTGACAGCAGCGAGGTGTACCCTTATGGAGGACGCCGACAGGCCTTGCTGTTTCAGGTGTAGGAGGTACTCTAAGATGAGGGGTACTGGCGCCTGGAGGGGGGCGAGTGCGACCCTGGTCACACCAACACAAGAATCTTTTCCACTTTGTCAGATACATGGCTCTCGTGGAGTGCTTCCTGCTGCCGAGGAAGACTTCCCTTACTTGTTCTGAGCACAGACGTTCCATGGGGTTCAGCCATGAAGCTTCCAAGCCGTGAGGTGGAGGGACCGTAGGTCAGAGTGACAGAGGTGACCGTATTCCTGAGTGAGTAAGTCGGGGAGGAGAGGTAACGTGACCAGTGCATCCACCGACAGCTCCAGTAGCGTGGTGTACTAGTGCTGGCGAGGCCACGCTGGAGCTATCAGAATTACCTTTGCCCCCTCCCTGCAGACCTTGAGCAGGACCTTGTGCGCGAGAGAGAATGGGGGAAAGGCATAGAGCAGGCGACCTCTCCAGGGTAGCAGAAATGCATCCATGAGGGAGCCTGGGCTGCGACCCTGGAAGGAGCAGAACGTTGGGCACTTCCTGTTGTGTTGAGAGGCAAACAGGTCGACCTGGGAATCCCCCACCTTTGGAAGACGAGGTGTGTGACATCCGGCCGGATGGACCACTTGTGAGTGCGGAAGGACCTGCTGAGGCGGTCCGCCAGTGTGTTCTGAACTCCTAGTAGAAAGGATGCTTCCAGGTGAATGGAGTGGGCTATGCAGAACTCCCATAGCTGAAGGGCCTCCTGGCATAGGGGAGAGGAATGGGCTTCCCCTTGTTTGTTGATGTAAAACATGGTGGTGGTGTTGTCCGTTAGAACTGCTACGCACTGGCCTTACAGTCGGGCCTGGAAGGCCTGGCAAGCGAGGCGCACCACCCTCAGCTCCTTGACATTGATATGTAGGGAGAGCTCATCCTATGACCACAGACCCTGTGTCTGGAGATCCCCCAGATGCGCCCCCCACATCCCAGAGCTGACGCATCTGTAACCAGGGACAAGGAAAGTTGAGGGTTGTGGAAGGGGACTCCTTCGCACACTGCTTGGGGGGTCAAGCCACCAGCGAAGGGATGTGAGGACCTGCCCTGGCACCTTGACCACTGAATTCAAGCTGTTGCTCCCCGGGCGGTAGACTGAGGCGAGCCATGCCTGCAACGGTCTGAGCCGCAGCCTGGTGTGCCGGGTCATATAAAGTGGAAGAAGCCATGTGACCGAGGAGACTCAGGAACCCCCTTGCTGTTGAGGTTGGGAATTGCTGGAGGCTTTTAATTATGTCCGTGATGGCTCAGAATCGGGACTCTGGTAGAAGGGTCCACGCCTGAACCGAGTCTAACACTGCCCCAATTAATTCTATTCTCTGGGTTGGTGCCAGGATCAACTTCCCCAAGTTGAGGAGGAGACCCAGTCACTCGAACATGCACCTGACCAAATGGATTTGGGACTGCACCTGTGCCCTGGTGCGGCCCCTGAGCAGCCAGTCATCGAGGTAGGGGTACACCTGCACCTTCTGGCGATGGAGGAAAGCAGCCACAACCGACATGCACTTGGTGAACACTCGGTGCGGATGTTGAGAGGCTGAATGGTAGGGCAGCAAATTGATAATGTTCATGTTTGATCACGAAGCGCAGGAAGTGCCTGTGTGCTGGATGGATTGCTATGTGGAAGTACGCGTCCTTCATCTTGAGGGCGGCAAACCAGTCTCCTGGATCCAGGGAGGGGATAATAGTGCCCAGGGAGACCATGCGGAACTTCAACTTTACCATGAATTTGTTGAGCCCACGCAGGTCTAGGATGGGTCTGAGGCCCCCTTTGGCCTTGGGGATTAGGAAGTATCGGGAGTAGAAACCCTTGCCCCTTAGCTCCTGAGGAACCTCCTCCATCGCTCCCATGGTGAAGAGGGCCTGCACCTCCTGGATAAGGAGTTGCTCGTGAGAGAGGTCCTTGAAGAGAGACGGGGAAGGGGGGTGGGAGGGAGGGTAGGGGCAGAACTGGAGAGAGTATCCTGCTTCCACCGTGCGGAGGACCAAGCGGTCCGAGGTTATTTGGGACCAGGCACGGTAGAAGTGGGACAAACGATTAAAAAAAGGGTAGGGAATGAGTCTGGTGCGCTGTCCTCAGGCGTCCCTTTAAAAGGCCTGCTTGGAACTCGAGGATGGTTTGGTCGGGCCCTGGCCTTGTCTGGAAGTGGAGTTCGAAGGCTTCATTCT